TGACTGAAGCTTAACATAATGCATAAGAATACAATTTAACTTCTTTTTAATACTCGCCAAGGTTAAACTGTACATGCTTAACGTGCGGGTTGCGTAATATGTTTACAAAGTTATTAGAGAGATTAGAACTACAGTTTAGTAGACGTAAATGCCAGTACAAGCTAATACCTTAAGAAACATGATCGTACTAAATCACAAAATCACAACACAACGTCTTTTGGGTATCTTTTGGGATCCGAAGTCTTTTTGACGGGGGAATAATGATCATCCAATGGTTTCTCCAGGATTGGGGGCCGGGAGTGAGAGAGTTTGTGTCTCTTACTGACTACAAACCACCCCGTTCTTACTTCTGCTTTGAGCTGGAGCCCCGGTAACCTGTTAGGTTGACGATAGTTCAAAGCCTTACTATCGGGTTCGGAGTTCGGGTTAAGGAACATTTCTAAATATAATATTAGTAGCACGGACAATAATTATGATCTGATAATAATGAAGACTGCCTCGTTGACCGAGTGGTCGCAATTGCGGCTGCCGGGCAAAGGGTCTCGGGTTCGATTACCGAGTCGGGCAAAGTATTGCTGGGATTTTTAAATAAATCTCAGTAATTGTACGGAGTCTGGAATTGTGTCCAGCATATGGCATAGGCTATTTATTACATGGGACTCATAACATAAATAGTGAAAAGTGGGTGTTACATTGTACAGTGGCATTAAGTGTCGTAATGTTCACCTCTGCCTACCCCTTTGGGGATAAAAGGCGTCATGTTATGTTATGTTATGTTACAAATGAAGAAGAGAGTCTGGAATTGTGCGTTGTGTATAGCAAAAGGCTTACCCTTGTCTTAGGTGGGACACAGGGTACAATTGGTGCTACATTAATTAACATGTGCACCTCTTATTACCCTTTCGGGGAGTAAGAAAACATGTTATTGCTATTAGCATGATTTTGCTTGTTCTAGACACTAAATAAGCGTGACAAGTCATTAAGGTTTAATTATTTTTTGTATTGTTCGGCATCAGCTTGTGTGAAGTTTCAATTAAAGTCAGTAGCTTGCATACCAGTAAATAGTACCTCCAAGTTACTATAGACACGGCAGATAACGAGTGAATACTTATTCTGAATTTTGTATTCAAGAAGCTTTGAGTTTGAGTTCATCAGCCTCCCCTTGATGAAAGGGATTCGCCATGTTTGGCAAACGGGTTGGAGATTGCAGTATTAAGAGTTCAGGTTCAAGTTTAGAATAATTAAAGAGTTATATAGCCTTGTTTCTATTAACTGTCAAACACCGCGAAGGCAGCGGTGACCGCAACCTATTTTTTTTTTTTTTTTGTTTATACGTTGCCCCACACTAGGATTTTCTCCTGTGTCGTGGGTGCGTTTACAAACATACAAGTTCACATACACAATGACACCCAGACCCGAAACAACACTTTGTGGATCACACAAAGTGTTGTCCCGTGCGGGAATCGAACCCGCGACACGTTGCACGACAGCCGGTTGCCCAGCCACCGCACCAACCGTGCAGTCTATTGTTCGTTAATTGTGTCTATAATGACGGTACTCAAAGGGTTAAATGTGTAATTCCTTAGGCCCTTACAACACCCGCGGGACGAGTGTTACCGCACTATAAAAACAAAAAATAGGAATCAATGTACAAAGTTTTACGTTAACATCGTTTCTTTGCAGGTCCCTCTCGTCTGAACTTCAGACCTCTTGTAGTAAAGATGCCAGCTCGTCACATGCTTCAGACAAACCCTGATCCTCCATCTCCTGGAGTGGAGGAACTGCAGTCGTCGCCTCAACTCGAGATGGAGACTGCTGAGCTGGATAGGGAGCTGCACAATGCTGAACAGCATTTGGAAAAAGGGGTGGCTATAGCTACCGAAGAAAGTGATGCAGACACGGTGAGTTTAGTGATAATCTTGCCTTTTTTATGGTTATAAAGTGGAAAATTCTTAAAAAATTTTACTTAATTAATTTAATCTTAACAATCACACGGATAATGTAGTTTAAGTAAATTAGTTCCTTTTAATCTAACAGACAAACAGTTTCTTTACCGTTTTTTTAAACTGTTTACACTAATATAATACATTAAACGTTATACTCAAAAAAAAAAGTTTCCATTAACTTTATTTAAATTAAGTAGGTTTGTGCCTGCTTTTACTTGCAGCCTCATTGAAAAGGTTTCGCGCAAAATTTAAGCAGATTTATTGAGTAGATAAAGCGTAGGCAAAGAGGTAACTAAACTTACTTGCTTTTACATTTACAAACAAAAAAATTCTTTATGGTATAAGCCGATAAACTAGCAGACGGATCACCCTATGATAAGCAATCGGCATCGCCCATGGACACCTGGAACACCAGAGGCGTTGCAAGTGCCTTACCGGCCTTTTAGGATTAGAAATTTGAGGATTATTTGGGATTCAGGGTTTGGGGAGGCAGGGCCGGGGGGTAATTGGGCCTCCGATAACCTCACTCACACGACGAAACACAACGCAAGCGTTGTTTCATTTCAGTTTTCTGTGTGGCCATGGTATCACTCCGAGTCGGCCCATTCGTGCCGAAGCATGGCTCTCCCACACTTGTTTATCAAAACTAAGGAATTTCAATAAAGATTTGTGTAGCTACAGTTTGTAGATAGAGTTTCAACTAAGTCTGTTATGTACGAGTCCAAAAATAGAAGCATCGTAGTTACTGCGGTCACAAATAGCTTTGTTATAAGCGAACAAAACTGTAGTGTACTGCACTAACTCTCTTCTACCTCAGAAACGAAATAAATTCCTACGAATTTTCATGCTTTTCTACGTCTTCTGTGAATATCTTACGAATGAATTTTATTTGTTTATTCTACTATTTCAAGAACCTACACATTTTGTACGATTCTATGCATTACTATCGTATATATCTTGGTCATTACAGTATTTTGGACCGTAATACATATGTAGTTATTATTAGATGCAAGGTTTCATACATTAAACAGAAAAAGGAAAACAAAGCTGCCATTGATTTCTTTCGCCGACTTTAATAATATTTTTTCTGAACTGATGTAGTATTTAATTCTTGTTCAGCTATTTTGACCAGCACGTTTTTCGTATGGGATTAACATTCAAATTAGATCTGTAGTTTTAAAATAAACCTTTTGGAAGAACCGTGGTCATCTGCAAACAAAATAGTAGTGGTCGATGATAGGTTAACTCGTCGAGTACCGGTTTTGCAGACACAATTATAGAACAATAGGTTGCGGTCACCGGTGACCGCTTGGTGTTTGACAGTTTAATAAGCTTTTTAATAGATTTAATTGTAGTTCTGACGGTACTACGAACATGTTTGATGTATTGAAGTAAAGATTAAGTTGCTTCTCTGGTAAAAACATTTTCGAATCTTCCCTAGAAGAAATGTGTTAGCTGAAAAGAACTGCGTTTTAGGATCGATTTTTCAAACGCCATATAAAATTTAACTGAGGAATAACATAACATAACATCATGCCTTTTATCCCCGAAGGGATAGGCAGAGGTGCACACAGATGTAACACCTACTTTTCACTATTTATGTAAAAGAAGATGAGTCTATTGGCATATACCGGGCACAATTCCAGACTCCGTGCTACTACTATGTATATACTACTATATACGTGGAATAACTTTGAATATTTGGCAATAATGTAAGAAGAAGTAAATAATGGTTTCCATGGCAATAACTGTCAAATGCCAATTTTATTTTACAGTTATGAATGAACTGATGATTCAAAAATCGGCCCTAGGTAGAGGAGGATGCTCAATTGCTAATTATTTGAAACTACGGCATCTGTTTGATGATGTAAAGTAAAACTCCAGAGGCCAGTTGCCGGCCTTCGCAATCTTTCGCAAAGCAAATGTAAGTCGGTATCTATAAAGCTCAAGCTCAACCATAAAACCTCGATCAAGGTGTCTGGCATATTTTTAATATTCACAATAAATAAACATTATCGCTCTCGGTCAAATCGCGTCCCATATCTGAATCATAAATAGCATGTGTTTCGTTGTGCGCGTGCGCCAGTCGGCGCCGCTGTGTTTTATTATAGCGATGGAAAGTTGAGAAACTGGAACACAGTGTTCTGTCATACTATGGAGTACCTTACTTACTATATTTTGGTAGTGACCACGTTTAATTAAAACTAAGTAACTAACAGGACATAGATCATGAAAGATGGGTTAATTTTGTTTACTGCGTAGGACATAATATATGGAGATGTAGATTGGTCTTAAGTAAATCTTAAAAAAATTTGGTTTGACTTTTCACAGTAAGTATGTGTCTCGGATTTGTAAAATGAAACTTTTAACTTTTATTTTCTGACAAAATTGTGAGAAAAGCTTTGCTAAATTTATTTCAAATATCTTTCAAAGTGAACAAGGCAATTTGGAGACGACGCACTATTATCTAACACGTTTGTTTTGGTGACTTTTAAATTGTTGTTTTTTTTTTTACAAAAATGTAGAGTGCAGCCATAAATCGTGTGTTCTCATGTCGTGCTGTGTAACACTAAAAGCTTGTGCTGCAAGCACAGCATCTTAACTGAAGTTGCGACACTGTCAACATAGATACTTTACGCGCGAAGGGCTTTGCGGGTGGAGGCATCATATGCTTTCAACTTAAGCCACGGTTCGTGGATCGTTTATTACCTATTCTAATAAAATATTGATAGGTATAATGATGTTTAGAATTGCGGTTGGCATCCAATTTTCAATCGAACAGGATTTTTTTTTAAATTAGGTAACACTGTGGATTATGTAGGTATGTGCATGCTTATGACATTTTTAATTACATAATAACAATTAATTGTTGTTCTAAATATAACAAATCGCGGTTGGATATCCTGTTCATTAACTGAATAATATTATTATATTTACACTAATATGGTATCATTGTACAGTTATGCGTCAGTTTTCCGCGACGCATGTCGTTTACGAGCAGCAGCGGTTTATTTACTACGGCTACTCGGCGACGGACACGACACGTGCGCCTCTCACACTATCAGCCTCTCGCGCGCACGATAACAAAACATTGCTCGACGCAGTAACACTAGTAACTAAACATTCACGGTAACACCACACGTACTAGTGCAAAAATCAACAGTTTTCACGGCAACCGTGTCAACGATATGCAAGCCTGGGGTGTTCAAATGGCGTGACGCTATCGACGAGGTACAGTGCCGTTCCCGTGGCAGCCAAACATAAACATCGCGTGATCGATAGCAGTTGGAAGAGGGTCGCGTGTTGTGGTGGTGGTGGTGCGCCAGGCATAGTTGTCGGGCATCTGAGCGGAGCGGCGCGCGTCTAGCCAGTACCACCAGCGGGAACAATGAGCGCGCCTTGACCTTGCGGTGCGCGGGAGGCAGGGGCGCACGATGACGCCAGCGCGGCCGGCTCGCGGTTCGGCTTTCGGGTGCGATCCTTCGCGGACGGCATCCGCGTAATCAGCGGTCAGTGTGATTCTGAAGTACGTCGAAAATTCCGGGGCGGGTGGGCGGCGCCGCGACGCCGGGGACTCTCACGCCGCACTCATTCTGCGAGTCGGCGCCGACGCCGACGCGCTTCGAACGACCGACCGACCGAGCCGACTCCCGCCGATCGAGTAAACCGCGACATGCGCGCGCACCGTCATGGGTAACGTGCAGTGCTGCGCCAGCGGACGCTTCCCTGTGGGCAAGCCGCCTAAGAAGGCGAAGAACAAGAAGAAGACGAAAGGACTAAAGGGTGTCAGCAAGAAGAATAGTAGTGTGAGTAGTGGAAAAGGTAACGGTAACGGAGCCGTGCAAAAAGTGGCGACGATGGCAGAGGACGGCTCCGAGAAAGCTGCGCCGGCGGAGACGCTGGTGCAGGCTGCTCCTACAGCCGTGGACGTACCCGACGGGGTGCTCCCGCGGCAGGAGGAGAACGAGATGCAACAGGCAAACGATAGTAGATCAGGATCAAGTTCACCTCGAACGGAGAGTATGGCGGCTGCGAGGGAACGATTCTTTGGTCAGGTACTTATCGCCATATCCTAAGCATAAACGTTTTCCTCAAAGCACGTAGGTATAGCAACAGGAATATAACAAATGCCGTGCGCCGTGACGAACTAATCCCTTTATCGTAGCGGAACGAATCTGCTCGACTCGGAGGTCGCTCTGCTTTACATCAGCTAATGTTGTGCTCATGATAACTCTCGAACGATATCTGTTTACGTGCATTATCTTAAGAGTATCGACTGCCGGCAATAAAACAGATGTATGCGTTATCTGAAGACGTCCGAACAATTTAATAGCTCACGGCATTCCGTTAATTACTTGGGAGTAGGTATTCATTTGTAACATATGTGTGTGTGTATACCTTCATGTGGTTGAATGGTCTAACTATAATAATATTATAACAAGCTAATTGCTTTATGGGACGAACAGTGTCGTCTGAATGGTTTGTTTTTGAACCGAGCCAAAACTTGTTTAAGTTATGTTGCTCAAGTTGTATTTCGGCACAGACATTGTATCGTCGTTTATTTTACTTTGGCAAAGACTTTAAATGCAGTTTCATGGAAACTTAAAGAATTAGGTGATTATTTTAATTGATAAGATACATAGGCTATTAATTTTCATGTATCCTCCATCAGTGCCTACTAGAAACGTAAATAGCAACATCTACAGTAACCTACTATAAGTCGTGAGATAATAAGAAATTACTTGCTAAGAAAATCTTGGATTATCAAGCACTTTTTCCTTATGCATAATTTGTGCAAATGTAAACACTTTGCATGAAAATAACTGTGCAATCTTTATTTCATTGTTAACCGTATCTTATCTTAAGCCATTGAAGAGAAGATGAAAATAACGTTTTTCCTAAAGTTAATTAACAATTATTGTTCCTCGCGCATTTACGTAACGAGCCAAATAATTATACTATTTTAAGAAGCATATATTTAAGATAGTTCTCATGAAACAGACTATAATTATATTGGAATTAAAATCAAAGTCGGTAATTAAAATATTCAAGAGTTTTGAGTCCTTATTGATCGGTGGTGGATCGGTAATCGGTAATACTCGCAATATCGGAATAAAAGACTTCTGTGTTATTTACTGACAGGTGAACTTTCTATATAGAAGTTTTCAAATCAACCCCGCAATTTCGGAGCCCATGCAAACAAATAAACAAACAACGAAATAAATATTTATTTATTAGGAGTGGATTTTTTTGCCAGAATCTGTTTTTTTTATGGCATAAGCTGGTAAACGAGCAAACGGATCACCTGAACGTAAGCAATCGCTGTCGCCCATGGACATCTGGAACACCAAGGCGATACAAGTACTGGCCTTTTGAGAATTGGGAATTTGAGGATTGTGGAGGATTCGGGGAATGGGGAGACTGGGGAGGGGCGTAATTGGGCCTCCGGTTACCTCACTCACACGACGAAACACAATGCAAGCGTTGTTTCACGTCGGTTTTCTGTGAGGCCGTGGTATCACTCCGGTCGAGCCGGCCCATTCGTGCCGAAGCATGGCTCTCCCACACTTGCCCATTCGTGCCGAAGCATGGCTCTCCCACACTTGCCCGAAGGGTATAAACTGGGTTTCTTCAAGACCCGAGTGAATAGGATCATCGCTTATTACCAGGCGAGATGGTGGTCAAGCGTTGGCCCAACAATAATATAAAAATAAAAAAAAAATATCATCAATATGTTACACCTCTGCCTACCTCAGTAGAAAAAAAACGGTGATGATAATTTGCCATTGAGATTCCGTAAATTTTTGTTCAAATGTCCTCACCATGTTCATTACCATTCGTGATACAGTACTTAAAGGTTACTCAACAGGTTTCATGATGATCTAATGTTAATGCATATATTACGACTATCAGCTATCAAGGATAATAAAGTAAGATAATCGAAGTATTAATAAATATTAGTGTAAATAATGATCTGTGTTCTGAATTTTAATTACGAGAACACATTCATCACAACGTCGGATGAAATGTTTCGTAAATCTTTCATTTGAGGCAAGGACTAATTTAAATTGTATTGCTTGTACAGTCAGCTGGTAAAAATACTCTACTGTCTTAGGATTGGGTTCTTCTTCCAAGAAAAACCAGTAAAGAACTAAGGACGAACGTACTTAAGTTCATATAAAGTTAACAGAAAGATGATATGTTTTCTGTTCATAGGTCATTTCAAATAATTATGATTACACAGCGATTATTTTATTACCTTAGCATTTACCAGAGACTTAGCTGTATTGGATTTTGTTTCAAGGTTTCAAATTCTAAACGTATGTATCAACTTCCATAATATATGATCTACAATGTTGTTTATATCGGTAGCAATGGTAGATAGCGGCAGAAAATTGTAAGTAATTCAACATTTACGACATGAAACTAAGTATTAGTGAGATCTTTAACGAAAATTCTGACTCACACGTTCTATTTGTATGCACAAAACGTTTTCTGCCTGCTTTCTATCTACTCTGTCTGGTTATTTATCTAAATTGATTCACCGATTCCGCTTATGTGATATTTTCCGACACCCACACGTTAGCCGGCGTAAAAATCAAATGTGAAAACGGGAATACGGGGATACGTCACTCGGATTATAAATATAGGTAGATAGTTCTTTGAAACACGTTCTCGTACAGATTTCAGGGTTTCTGATGCTCTCTTATTCACACATGTCATTGACACAACGAGGAAAGTGACCGAGTGGTTTTGATTTTACTCCCTCCACTTTTTGGAGAGAGTCCAGACGTTTTCCCGAAATAACTTCGACTGTTCCGACTTAATGCAAGATTTCATTGGTTGCAATAGTTCGTTCCGCTTACTACTACGCCTGTGTGCGTTCGTCCCAGTTTACGTCCCACCGCCTCAAAACATATGTTTCTTAATCGCAGAGTAGTATCGAGAATGTCGTGTGGTTTCGGAGATTTTTCTTACTAACTGTTCAATAATACTGTTACACAACAAGTACTATTATTAAAAATCTGGTATAAATAATAACGATTTTGTACATTCCATTTTCAAAGTTTTATAAAGCAAATCCTATTTCATGCATGTTTCTCGTATGTATGTGCGTCCAAATGTAGGTCAAAGAGAATATAATTCAGAATTAAGTATATGAATATAATAAAATTGCATTTAAGTTACTTTAATTGCCAATAAGAAGGCTTATTACGTTTTACTAGCGCTAATACTGAGAATTTTCTACGATCGGTGTTCTCAAAACATGCATAAATTTATGAAACCATTTCCATATAAAGATTTTTAGCAGTCCATCATTGATGCTTAGCATATCTTCTTATATACTAACAAGTGATAATAACTCCATATAATTTATTTACCATGACTATAGTTAGCCAAAGCATTTGCTATCTATACAGGTAAGGAAATAAGTATTGATTCAGTATAGAGACAGTATCTATTTTTGTAGTAAATATTGTATTTTAAGACAAGCCTTTATATCCATTGGTGGCCTTCGTAGCCGACCAATAAATATTGTCTATAATGAATTAATCTTTGTTTTTTTACCTGCATACTAAATACTGTTGCTGACTGTACAACGAACATATTTCCTTGAGAAGGATCCACTCTTCTTCTAAGTTTTCAATGATGTACTGTTACTAGGTAAACAAATTATTAGTTTACAACAATTTTTCATTTCGATAGATACATCAGATTAAAATTTCATTAATTTGAGTGTCGCAGGTGAGTTCGTTCATTCGAGTACTCAGTGACTCTCTCATTGTTTTCTGGGATTGACTGTGTGGTTTTAGTCGGTAAGAGTTCGACATAACCTGCTGTCTGACGCTCATTGTTTAGACAAAGGGTATCCATGAGGATTTCCACACGTAAAAAAAAGGTATCATGAAGTAGCTGCATAATTAAATAGTACCTGGATGATCGAGACTTCCTCGGTTTTTTTTAGTACGTGACATTTACGGTATTATTGGTTACATTCTATTATTAAATTCTAGATTCATTCATTATTGCCCTTGAAACCTCCTAAATACAAAATTTCAAAAAAAATTGTAGGAGGTGTTTCTGAGTTCATTGATACATATCTAATAGTTATACAGAAATTGTGTGTTTAAAGGTATAACTGTATAAGTTTCGTCAACAGCCTTAGATAGTCCGAAACTAGATTATAAGTATTCCCTAAATGAGACGGGTTTCCCATAATTTTTCATCTTCGGCATATCTCCTCGCTTGGAAGGTAAATTGCATATTGCAGTTTAAACGGTCCCGCTTTTTCAGAGCGCTGATGCCCAGGGCCCAGTCTCTGTAAAAATATGTAACCCTTTAGTCGGTTTTTACGGCAGACACAAAAAGAGAAGGGATGGGAATGGCGACAAATATATTCCATAAATGATTATGTTTTCGGCTTGCTCACGTAATAATTTGACGAGGAACTCGACTAGTTTCAAGCCATGCTAGAGGCTCATATTCACGACCAGCACTCGAGTCTGGAGCTCTGGATATGCTAGAGAGCGCTGAGCCCGCAGGCTCGAGTAGAAAACATAATAATTTATTTAGTACTAGCTTACACCCGCGGATTCGCTCGCGTCACAAAAGGATAAAAAGTAGCATATGTTACATATACCAATACACACAGCGCCATCTATACCAATACTTTTGTTTTCCCTCGAAAATAACAATTTTTTCCGGGATAAAAAGTACCTTATTATATAATCCGGACTTCTAACTTTACGTCTGCAAAAATCCAAAGCAATCGGATTAGTAGTTACGGCGTGAAAGCGGAACAAACAAACAAACAAACTCACTTTCCAATTTATAATATTAGTAAGGATAAGGATGTATCACGAAAGTTACAATACAAATATATTCCACTCAACCATCACCACACTTTACTAGAACTGATTTAAACAGTTTAGCTATTCGTGTAACTAGGTTTCATTATTTTAAGTGCATTGATAGCATGCGCCAACCCAGCGTCTGACCTGTCGTTAAACGTTTATTTTATATGCTATGTCGCGGTCAGCAACATGAATTGTCC